CTGGGCCCGCCGGCGCCCCCCAGAGGCGCGGCCGCCCCGTCGGCGTCGCAGCGCCGCAAGCGCACGTCGTTCAGCGCGGAGCAGCTGCGGCTGCTGGAGCTCGTCTTCCGCCGGACCATGTACCCCGACATCCACCTGCGCGAGCGCCTGGCCGCGCTCACCCTGCTGCCCGAGTCCCGGATCCAGGTGAGTCCAGCGCGGCGCGCTCGTCTGTGCGCCCTGGGCCGGGGGCAGCACCCGGGGCCCGCTTACTTGCCTGACGTTGGGCAAGTCGCTTCCCTTGAGCTTCGGTGTCCTAGGCTGTAAAATAGGGATAATATCAGTACCTGCTGCCTAGGGTCATTGTGAGGCTTAGCTGACATAATTCAGGCACGCGCTCAGCGACTTCGGTCTCTGTTGTTAAGTATCAGGGCCCCTCCGAGGAGGCTCGCTGGTCCCTTGAAACGGTCAGAAAGAGCATCCTCAGCAGGAAGGGGATAGGAAGTCTTGCACACTGTGCCCTTATCCAGGAAGAAGAGAGAGATGAGGCACAGTTGGTGTTTTCCCTGGCACGAGAATGGTAGCCGAGACAGGGCAGGGCTGCCTCCCCAAGTGCCCTGGGCCCCGAGGCCACTCTCTTGGCAGGTATTGGGTCTGGAATTTCGGTTGGAAAGGATGTAGCATCTTGGGGTAAAGCCTGAAACATATGGAGCTCCTTGTCACAGCTTGAAAAATCGAGTGCAAGGTGCGTGTATTGCCCAAAGTAGCTTAAATCAGAATCCTGCAGCTTGGCGGTAATAAGAAGCCAGCCTCTTTGCCTGTTCGTCTGTGGCGCCTTGGTCTGTGTCCAAGTGCAGTTTTAAGTAGGAGCCGTCATTTTAACCCTGGGAGAGAGGGCTTGCTTTTCCGCACATCCCTGGTGGCAAGCATCTGTCAGTTTCAGCAGCTGGCGGGGAGTCTTCCTAGGTGGACCCCCTCAGGATTGGTGGGGAAATAGAAAAATGTATTCACAGAAGTGAAGTCCACTGAGCAAAACATCTCCTTGATTAATTTGAGAAGGGAGTACACTTTCAAAAACTGACTTTCTAATTAATTTTAACACCTATCCTCCTTCAGCATAGCAGCATTTTCCCCTCAAATTCTAAGTGCTAGTTCTGTGACGCTGTCTTTCATTACAAATATCCCTATATAATGCCTAGATAGAACCAGGCATTATTCCAGGTTTGCCCCTGGGGATGGTGAGGCAGAGGAAGCCAGGTGCTCTGAACTTCTAACCATCAGCATACGAGAGCTTTCTTAAAACCATAATGTTCTGGAGTGGAGAGCCCAGGCCTGTGAAACTGGAACTTATTATGAACTAGCATAAGGACTCCAACCGTTTTTCTCTGCCCTCTTCCAGGTGTGGTTCCAGAACAGGAGGGCCAAGTCACGGCGGCAGAGTGGGAAATCCTTTCAGCCTTCAGCCAGGCCCGAGCTTTTCCTCCACCACGCTGCTCGTGGGACCCACCAGAAATGTTTGAAGCCCCAGCTGCCTCTTGAGGTAGACGCGAGCTGCCTGCCTGATCCCAACAGGGTTGGAGGGGGCATCTCTGACCCTGGCTCCCGAGGTCACCGGTTTGAAACCTATTCTCCTCTCTCTGAAGACCTTGGTTCAAAGCTGGACTCCTGGGAGGAACACATCTTTTCTGCTTTTGGTAACTCTTGAGGATTCTGGGAGAATTCAGGATAAGCTCAGAGGAGCCGTGACTGACAGCCAGGGAGACACACATCAGGATACTGTCCTTTCTTGCTTCCATGTTAAGGACACATCCATGTCAACCTTGCTGATGGTTTTGAGTCATCTCTCACCTGTGAAGCTCCCTGCCCTTTCACCTATGAACCTTTACCCATGCCCAGTTCTCTCTCTGTAGCCCACACCCCCAGGAGTGCTGGCATTCATTTTTACCTACATATCTCCAAATTTGCACATTCAGTTCAGTCTGCGTCCCTGCTCTTTCTTGCTAGTCCTGTTCTTATTTTTTGGACTAGTTTTTCGGAACTCACTATCTTGTTCACAAGAATTCCTCAGCTTGACTGAGTTTCTCTCGTGCTTGACAAGCTGCCGTCTTCTCAGAGTTCCTCCAAGGCTTCTAACCCTACACTCACTCTAACCCATCTCCTTCGATCCTCATCCTCTCCCGGAGATTTAACACTTTTTACATTTGGCCTGTCATCCTGACACTCATTTGTACCTCCAGTGATTCTGCATCCAAATTATTTATTTCAAGAGCTCCCTGCCTCTAGCTTCTCAACTTTTTAAAAATGACTCTCTTTAGAAATCCATAGTAGCCTCTAATTGCTACCAAATTACAAGAACCTTTTGGTGACTCTCCCAGATAACTAACATCTGTAGCGTACAGGACAGTTATGCAGATCTTAAGGTCACCCATCCCCACTCTGTGCCTCACCCATCCCCACTCTGTGCCTCTGTCTCAAAGCCATTCCTTTCAGTTTTGGAACCAAATGAATACCTCTCTATCTCAGAACACTCGAGAGCTCCCTCTTTCTGAAGTCTGAAGCTTTCTCTAATCCCGATTTTGTGCGCGTTACTTCAGTCACCCCAACATCACCCTTAGCACTTGTTATTGTACTTCCGTGCAACTTGAGTGGGTTATTAAATGGTTTCCACAAATGTTTCATTGTAATTCTGTTGAAATGAATTCTGCCCTACAGCACTTAGCACAGTGCTTCATTCCATGATTGCTCAGGACATATGATGTGGCCGTGAAAAACATTGCTAAAAGAAACAAGTTTCTGCAAATGTAGTTTATAGCCAGTAATCATTATATCAGCAGGCCACTGTGCTGAGAAATTTAACTTAGTTAGAAGCATATCTTTGGCTTGTTCAAAGTTTAGCAACGTGAGTCTTTTGGTTTCAGGAGATGTCTCTTTCTCAATTTATACATGAAGAATGTATGTAAATTACCGTTTCTAAATTAGCCTGAGATAAATTATTGTTTTGATATGTTGAGGGATCCCAAACTCCTGAGGACCGAAGGAAACTGTTTGTATATGAGGTAACCAGAGGTGAAGTTCCTTTGTAAACTGCACTTTGGAGGAGGCTCATGGCGAGGCCAGGACTCACGTCTTGATGGTTCTAGAAGAGTCCAACCTGCGTTGAATGGCTTAGAGATCATCCACGCCAGCTGTCGTAATTTTCATAGAGGTGTTATTCAGATGGCTTGTAGAGTAGCAAATCCGCTATTAAAAGCAACCAGGACATAGTTCAGGCTTTAGTAGCAGACCTGACTTCTGAACCTGTCAAAACTGTCTGAAACCAAAAATGAGATGATAAACATTAGCTATCATTGTTTTTACTATGTGCCAAACCTTGTGCTCAGGGCCTACTGTGGGGGTGGCCAGGAGGTCTCACAATCATTTTCTATCTCATTTAGACTTGTGACGTGGCCAAATGATATGATACATTCACAAACTTACCGTTCACTAAGGATCACATTTTCGAGTAAATCTTGTATTAGCTTATTTATTTATTTATTTATTGTGAGGAAGATCAGCCCTGAGCTAACATCCGTGCTAATCCTCCTCTTTTTGCTGAGGAAGACCGGCTCTGAGCTAACATCTATTGCCAATCCTCCTCCTTTTTTTTCCCCAAATCCCCAGTAGATAGTTGTATGTCATAGTTGCACATCCTTCTAGTTGCTGTATGTGGGACACGGCCTCAGCATGGCTGGAGAAGCGGTGCGTCAGTGCGCGCCCGGGATCTGAACCCGGGCTGCCAGTAGCGGAGCGCGAGCACTTAACCGCCAAGCCACAGGGCCGGCCCTTGTATTAGCTTATTAATTGTACTATTGCATTTATGTTGTGTTGTTTTCCCCAGTGAACAATTTGAAAATCTACAGATATTTAAATCTCGTCACATTTTTAATTTCTAAAAATTGTGGGATCGTCTAAGAACAGTAGACTGCACCTCTCTCAAACTCTTGAGACCCTAACTGCTAAATGTGTTACAAGTATTATATGTTTAATCCTCACAACTGCCATAGGATGTAGGGACTACTATCATTTTAAAGATCAAGAAACTTAATTTGGGGCCAGCCCACTGGCATAGTGATTAAGTTCAGAACACTCTGCTTCGGCAGCCCAGGGTTCGGTTCCCAGGCGTGGACCTACACCACTTGTTGGCAGCCATGCTGTGGCAGTGACCCACATAAGAAATAAACAGAGGAACACTGGCACAGATGTTAACAGGGTGAATCTTCCTCAGCAAAAAAAAATAAATAAATAAAAATTTAGTGGTTCACAATCAAACAGCTAATAAACGACAGCTGGGACTCAACCTAGGACTAACCCAGTCCATCCATTTATCCCCCATATAATGCCTTCTATTTTGGCCTGGCCTTTGTAGTCAGGACTAACGATAGTGTGATGGCTTTAAAGACACCCCCTGAATTGGAATTTCTACCTCCAGGTGAGTACTGTCTCATCTTTCAGAGCAATCATCATGGGAGACTGGACTCTTATTGCAGGGACACTAATGTCGCTCAGCGCTCTTTTGAAACTCTTCTTTGTTGAGTCCACAAATATTTGGTGCCTCTAAATAGGCGCTTTACCAGGGCCTGGAAGTAAAATGGTGAGCAAAACCAGAAACGGTCTCTCTCCTCATGGAGCGAAGAGGCCAGTATGGAAACAAAAGAAGATACATAAAATTACAGATGTGACAACTGCTGGAAGGAGAGGTACACGAGCACCTGGAGATGATGTGGTCCAGGAAAGCTTCACCAGAAAGTGATGCTGAAGGTAAGGTCTGTAGGATGGTCAGGAGTTACCAAAGTGAAGAGGAGAGGGAACACAGAGGGCACTGCATGTGCAAAGGCCCTGTGGAGTACGGAGCAGGATGCAGAAATTGGTAGGGGAGGCCAGACCATGCATGGCTTTGTAGGTCTTGTAAAAGAGTTCTGAATTTGTTCTGACAGCCATAGACTGTAGATGGGGACAACGTGACCAGATCTGCATCTTAAGAATATCACTCTGGCTGCCTTTGAGGAGGGCTGAGTGGATACTGGAGATAAGTTAGGAGATGACTGCCATGCTCCAGGCTAGTGATGACGGAAGCTGGGCTGAGAGTAGTGGTGGTGATGAAGATGGAGAACGTGCGTGAATTCAAGAGAAAAAATGTAACAGGCAGATTTTTTGGTCGATTCTCAATGGTGAGCAAGTGAGGCTGACTTTTGGAACTAACTTAAAGTAATTCAGAACCAAATCTACACAACACGTGGTGTGCTTGTTTGTTTTTGCTCAATCTGGCTTTGATGGCTCCCTTTAGAGCTCCAAAAATGTGTTAACCAGTAGCAGCATCATTCAAATTAATGTACAGCTGACCCAAAGCGACTACTTTGAATATATAGCTTTCTTCTTCCTAAAATAAAACTCCAACATAATCTTAGGCACAGTTACTACCATCAACACATGATACCACTGAAAGACACAGTGCTTGATTAAAAAACAGCTGTCCCTCGGTATCCGCGGGGGATTGGTTCCAGGACGCCCTGTGCAGATGCTCCAGTCCCTTAGCTGGCCCTCTGAATGGGCCGGTTCTGCCTCCGTGGATTCAACTAACTGTGGATTGTAAACATATTACACGGACCCATCTGCGGTTGGTTGAAGCCGTGGGTGCGGAACCTGCGGATACAGAGGGCCGACCGTATGTGCAAACGGAGGTACGTATAATTTAAGTGAGACGAGTAAGCCTTAAGAAATGGAAAAGAAATAATGCTTACCTAATTTCTAGGCAGAATATATTAAAAGCAACATTTCACTAGGTCTATAGTAAGCCAAGTAACTTACTTGCTTAGCGTTTTCCACAGTGATTTACTCAGATGGAAAAAAAAACCCTCCCTAAAATAATATTGGATGGTATCATAATTCAAAATGACTTGGTAATTAATCTGTGCCATTTCCCCTCAGAATATAATTTAGTGGAAATTGCAATTCTTTAAAACTTTTTTAATAGAGGGAATACTTACTAACTTATATTAAATGAAAATGTAGACAATATTAATTTTCATAGATCAATTTATTTAAAATTACAAATATTAAGAATAAAAGATTTATGCATTTCTTAATTAACATAACAGTTTAGCTAAATATAAACTCTGCACTAAAGTTTTGCAGTGGCACAATACCAACAAAGAATATGGAAGCATTTTTAAACTATACAAAAATTTCAAATGGAAAATAATCTTATTTCAGTTTTATTATACATTAACATATAAAAAGTCTCATTTTATGAGACATCTAAAAGAATCAAAGCCACTTCTACAGCTATATCTTAAACTCCAAATCTGAAAACAATTTATTATATTTTGACTTTATAATATTCTATATTAAAACAAAGGAAATTCCAAATACACACTTTTTACAAGATTAACATTTTAGGCAGGGTTTTCCTGAAAAAAACAGAAATCAAAAACAAAAAACCCCCCACAACCGAATACAAACCTTTTTTCTGCATTTCACAGCACTGGTTATTATATTTGTTTTCCTTATAAAATCTTTTTACTTTATAAATTGTGTACTGTTGGATTTTAACCAGTAATCTGGTTCAAAAGTTGTGCAAATAAACAAAAAAATAAGAAAATAGTGTATCAGTCTTTTTTTTTTTAATAAATCTCATAACAATAGCACTTTTTGCCCTGAATTGATGGGAAAAGACATGCCAAATCCACTTGCTGAAATTTAGCATTTTGCAGTAATGTTTT